GGAGGAGAAGGTGGAGGAGGAGGAGGAGGACAACAACAGCGACAGAGATGGAGGACTCACTCCTCTGCTCAGTTTCAAAACTTACTATCAGTTCTAGTATCAAAAGGGTGTGGCGCTGGCACAAGGCCGGCCACCAAAATCAATGGCATAGAACATGAGCGTTCAGAAATACTCCTGTGGTCAGCTGATCTTTAGGAGGACATCAGCACAGTTCAATGTTTAATCCTCCCTGCCAGCTTCGCTGGGTTTGGAATCACTGGGAGACACAGCTCTGGGTTTGTCTATGAGGGTACTTTCATTGAGAAAGGAAGCCTCACTTCAGACATAGGTGGCACCATCGTGAGGACTGGGGTCTTCAATAAAAAGATAAAAAGAAGAAAGTAAACTGAGCACCAACATTCATTTCTTCTTTGCCTCCGGACTAAAGGCCCAATGTGACCAGACCCTGCCATCAAGCTTTCCTATCATGATGGACCGTATACCCTCAAACTGTGAGCCAAACATACACCCTTCTGTTTTTGAGCTGCTTTTGTCAGGTATTGGTCATAGCGATGATTCAAGTAACTAGTACAGGGGTCATAATTGTTGCCAGGATAAAAGAATGAAATTGACTCCCTCCTTACCTCATACGGAAACATTAACCTATGGTGATCAGTGATCTAAATACTCAATTAAGTCTTACAAAATTCTCATAATACAATCGAAGGAACTATCAAGAAATTTAAAAATCAGTCCAAAGAATTAGAAAAAATACTGACAAATGAAAATATTATGTGAGCATGCACTATGTACTTTGCACAAAGAAATTCTAAAACTTACCAATAAGTAGGCAAATCAAATTAAAAATGAACAAAGAGTTTGTATAGATATTTACTCATAGGAGACATACATGTGAACAATACTCAGTTGGGAAAGGCTTGACATCTCTGGTTATTCAGTAAATATAAATCAATACCAGAGTCAGAGACCATTTCACACCCATATACATGGCTATAGTTTTGTAAAAATGGCAAACATGTTGGAAAGGATGTGAGGAAATGGGGAGTCATGTGTTCTGCTGGCTCCAGGAATGCCTAATGGTATGGCCACTTTGGAAATCAGTTCATCCATTCTTTTTTTTTTTTTAAAGGTTACCAATGGATTAGCTATGCAAATCAACAAACCCACTGCTAAAATCGATCTACTACAGAAATGAGGGTGTTTAAATAAAAATGTATTTGCAGATATTTTCAGCATCCATTATTCATAATAGCCAAAGGGTGTACTCAATCCAGTGAGCATCATATAATGAATGCATAAATAAGGTGAGATCTGTGTATACCCTAGAATGTCATTCAGCCACAACGCAGAATTAAGTACTGATACGCAATATGGCATCTAGAAACCTCACAAGCAAATGTCATGCGCAGCGCAACAAGAGACCACATAACTGGAAAACTTAATATATAGAAAACATGAAGAATAGACAAAAACTAGGCTGAGAGTTTCAACAGTCCAGCGACAGAGGAAAGTGTGAAGATACTGTGCTGATAGATCCGATATTCTTGCAGTGAGATCAAAGTATTCTGGAATTATGTGTTTGTGATGGTTTCACAACCCCATGAGTAAGAGCCCTGAATAAGACATCTTAACAAGATGAGTTTCTCGGCATATGAGTTGGATCTAAATAAAAAGTTAGTAAAAAATAATCCCTACTCAGTATTAAAGAAAGCAAAGGGGGCTGAGAGATGGCTTAGAGCTTAAGAAAAGTTACTGATCTTCCAGAGGACCTGGCTACCCAGTTCCTACATTGGGCAGCTCACAACCTGTAACTGCAGTGTACATACTCAGCACACACACACACACAGAGCACGCATTCACACATGCACACACATGCAAAACACACACGCCCATCATTTTTTAAAGAAATAAAATACATTTTAAAAACAAAATGAAAAAAGAAGTATGAGTAGTATTTTTTGTTTCTTCATTTAAAGTCTATGTCTTACAGGACCAGAAATAAACACCCCATGAGTACTGAGTATTAGGAAATTCAAGGAAAATTTTTTCCAGGGAACCCACTTGTCTTAGCATGCCCCCAAACATAGACCCTAGGATAAGCACTGAAGTGCAAATGAGTTCTTTGGGAGGTGAAGGAAATACCAGCCGGGGAACAGGGAAGTGAGTCAGAGGAGGGAAGGCATCCTACATAGCGCTCTCACCAAGTGAGCTGCATTGGGGGTACTGGAGCTAGAGTCTTCCGGAAAAGGCTCTTCAGAGTGTCTCTCGCCCCTTCCCCAGAACCGTCAGTTAATAGCCCAGCTCCTTGCCCCATTTGTATTTATTCAGGGTTAGGTACTCCACACAGAGGAGTAAGCCACTACCCAGAGGCCAATGCTAGTAGCTGGAAGCAGGGTGTGTGTGTGTTGGGGAAGGGGGGGCAGGGTGGTGGAGGTGTGGAGTGGGGGTGGGAGCGGACTCCCACTGGGATGGAAAGCCCCAAAGAGGAAGCCCCTGACATGTCAGCTCATTGGAACCTCCGCAGATGGCTAGAGGTCAAGAATTCTAAAATATGAAGAGATGGGCTTGCCCCTAAGTCATCATTTAGGGGCAAGCTAGTACACCGGAAGATTGATTTCTGTATATACAAAGTAGGGGAGGGATAGGGTAAACGGCCACAAGTCATTCTAGGAAACTGTTCAACTGGAAGGGACAGCGGGAAGCCCTGGATCTGACCCATTTGGTCTGAAGTGGGAGGAGCCTGAGAACGCTGGAGTGGCAGCTGGTGTCTGGTCTGAGAGGAGTCACGTGGATCATGCTGTCTAACCCGGGGCCTGTGCCAGTTCTGGGTAATCGATTTCAGAAATACACAGCAGTTACGTTCACGTGAAAGCCCAAATGGTCTTTCTTCCTGGAGAATCTGGGCCCTTGTTATGTAGTGCCCTCTTTAGCTGTGATAAATTTCCTTGTTTCAAATCTCATTTTTTTTTTCTGAAGTGACCGCAGCTACTACAGATTTTTTTTTGGGGGGGATTATTATTAATAGTCTATCTTTCTCCATTCCTTTGCTCTTTTCATATAAAAAATGTGTATGAGTGTTTGCTTGTACATAGTACAAGCACCACTTATATGCCTGGTGCCCTCAGAAACCGGAAGAGGGCATTGATGCCCCTGAAACTGGGGTGGTGGAGGGTTTCAAGCTGCCACCGGAAGAGGGCATTGATGCCCCTGAAACTGGGGTGGTGGAGGGTTTCAAGCTGCCACCGGAAGAGGGCATTGATGCCCCTGAAACTGGGGTGGTGGAGGGTTTCAAGCTGCCATGTGGGTGCTGGGACTGAACCCAGGTCATCTGAAAGATCATAAAGCACTCTTCACCATTGAGTCACCTCTCCACTTAACGGATATATGTGTTGTTGTTGTTTTTTTAATTTGAAAGTGAGGTTCTTGATGACAACATATAGCTATGTGAGTCTCGTTTATTATCCACTCTGTGAATCTCTAGCTTTTTATTTTGCATTTAGACTAATGACATTTAAAGTGGCTATTGACATAGTTGGATTAATAGCTACCATATTTCTAACTGTTTTCTCTTACTGCCCTTATTCTACTGATTTATTTGTTTTCCCTTGTCTTTTTCTACCATCTCTGGTTTTAATTGAGGATTGCATATTTTTGCATTTTTCTCCCTTCTTGGCTATTAATCATACTTCCAAACATGTTTAATAACTAGACACACATCTGTCATCCTACTTACTCAGAAGGCTGAAGCAGGAAGAATGCTTGCTTCAGTCTAGGAATTGGGTGTCAGCAATGTGCTCTCTCTCTCTCTCTCTCTCTCTCTCTCTCTCTCTCTCTCTCTCTCTGAGTCACCATGTGTTTGTTTAGTAGAAAGTAGTATGGCTGTGTCTTAGAATCTCTGGCTATGCTATAGGGAAGCCCTCAGTTATTCAGTTTGTGAACCTAATGTCCCAGTGTTCTCCACTAACTGATTCTCATTTTCATCTCCTGTTGTTTCTCAGTTGTGTTGTTCGTGGTGGTAGTGGTGGTGGTGGTGGTGGTGGTGTGTGTGTGTGTGTGTAGTGAGATGGAACCCAGGGCCTCAGGTATGCTAAGCAAGTACTCGTCCATTGAGCACCATTAGCCTTTCCTGTTTACTGTTTTCATTACTGCAATGACTACTATGTATACTGCTGCTGCTGCCAAGACACACCTCATAAGCTCCAGGTATCTCTTGCCCACTACTGCCTGCAGTCATCCCCAGGTGTGGAGGGATTGTCTCAGCATCCAGATACTTGGTGTGAGCTCCACCCCCAGGCTTCTGGGAGTGACTGCCCCTCAGAGTAAGACAGACCCACCTCATAGGGTAGATAAGTTCATGGAACATCTGTAAGCTCACATTCCATCTTCAGGGAGAATTCTCTTTCAAATGGGCCTTGGGCTTCCCCTGCTCATCACATCTTAAGAGTGGATGAGGACAAGATTAGACCCACTGGGTTGGAGAATCTGCTTCTGTGTTCAAGGGACGAAGAGAGAGGCAACATTGTAGAGGTACTGGTGGGTCTTTAGGGGACTAACTCAAGGATACAGCCACTTTGTTTGCATTTGGACAAAGCTGGAAGTCACTTCGGATTTACATCAATAAAGATTATCACCAAGGTCCCCTGCCTCAGGCTGGATGTTCCATATTTCTTCTGTGAAACAAGAACATCTTCAAACAGAACAGCTAATACTATTTAAATGGCAAATGCTCATACACATAGAAATATACAAAAATATACATATATATTTCTATGCATATGAGCATATTTACATGAATATATACATACCTACACACTATCACACTATATACTACACTACACACACACATACACACACAAACTATATATATATATATTTACTTCATATTTTTCTTGTGACTGTTCTTCAGAGGCCTGAACATGGCAAGAGGCTGCTGTAGCCAGGGAATTAATTTATTTGATTGCTCACTCCATTCCAGAATTGAGTCATACTTCCTGCCTCTTCTTTTTACAACATCTCTTTGCCTCTTAATGAAACCATTGAGGCAAACATGGTACCAGTGTCTGGCCCTCCCACTGTCCTGTCAAATCCTGTTCTTGGGGAATGATTGAATTGGTGAGTAGCTGAAATGTTCAACTTTTAATTTTCTTCCCTTGGCACCATAGGGAACGGCCAGCAAAGTATTTCAGGAACCAGAACATGGGGGTGAGGAATCCTATTGGAGCACATGATCCGGTAGATGCTCTGGCACCCATCTCCGGTAATTGGAAGTTGGGGGAAGGCTTTTCCCTTGCTTTCACAGCCTGTAGAGCAGTCACAGTGGGAAGAGAAGAGATCCCCACCTCATCTCACATTCCTCCCCTCACCTGCTTCAACTGAGAGCTAACCACAGAGAACATCATGGTATTGTAGCCAAGTTCACTAGATTGCGACCCTTGTTCACATTCTGCCTTGAGGACTGCTACCTGCATAACCTTTAAAAAAAAATCACTTAACCTCTTGGTTGATGGGCAAGTGCTTCTGTGTATGTGTTTGTCTTACTGGATGATAAAGTACTGATTGGCCAGTGAGGCAGCAAGTTAGGCAGGACTAGGAGTCGAGGAGGATTCTGGGAAATGTAGTAAGAAGTGGTGATCCAAGCAGGAAGTGACATAGCAGGGAGATTCATATTTAAGGAAGGACAAAAAGGAAGTGGGCCCTTTTGTCCCCTTCGCATCCTCCAGCTGTGCGATGTGATCCACCAGCAAGTGAGGACACCAATGGAAGGTGTCCGATAAGATAAGTCTTATAAGATATATAGATTTATGATGATTAAGACTGAGCTAACAGATGAGAAATCCTAGTCATTGGCCAAGCAGCATTTGAACCTAATATAAGTCTCTGTATTATTTTGTCCATCCACACGGCGGGTGGCGGGCAGAACTCGGGTGGCTGGCGGAGACCGCCCACATGGCGGTAGGGTTCTGGCAGCTTCTGGCGGAAAGGTTTATCATAACACTTGGTGACCTCATTTTCCTGGATCTAAGAACAGGAATGTGTAGAACAGCTGTGCTAGGTGTTTGAGAAGGGTGGATCCAATCTATTCCCTGTAGCCTGAGAGGGTCAGTCAATGATGCTGACTTGTTGAATAGCTGCTGGGCTTCTCTAGCTCACGAAATGGAACCCCCAACCAACAAACCCCTAAAGTTCACATCATGAAACTTTCACATTAAAAGACCCCTTTCTTGGCACTGGTTGAAGCTGCCCATCTTGCCAAGAGGAACAGAGGCCTAGAGAGTGGAGGGGCATGTTCAAAGCTCAATCAATGTTGACACCCGACTCACCACCACTCTTTTGGAGTCTCTGTTTAAATGTCCTGGCTCATGTTTCACCACCTACCCTCCAGTGTTTCTTCCCGGGTGTTTCCACATGGAGTCATCTCTGGGCTACTCCAGAGGACAGGGCAGTGAGTCAGTCAAGATCCCTATAGGCACATGCTGGTGCTTGGCCAATGGTCACGGGTTCTAGATACTTCGTTCCCCAAAGAAGGGCACTCTGGATGTACATGTGTTCTTGAAGAAACGTGAGGCCATTAGAGAGTCTCTCAGAACAAGGACAAGTCTGTCAGCTTCCTGGCTGTTTGTAAGTAGCTTTCTCAGCCCCAGGGTTCTCTATAGTCAGAGACCTTCCCATCTGCACCCAGGATCTCTGCCCCAAACCCAGACATCCAGAGTAAGATGTCCTGACCCTGAGGACTCAGGCATCCTAGAAAGACTCCATCTTGCCAATGTTCCTGTTTCTGTTCTGCATCACCGGGTAAGGTACAGTCCATTACTGTGCCTCAGATACAGAGCTCATGCAAGGAGGCTAGTCAGCAATGAGGTAGGTCTGACAGTTCCCAGGAGAGCTGTCCTCATGGTGCCAATGGAGTTGGTCTCACCAAGGAGGCCAAGAGAGTCATGATAAACATGCTAGAGACCTGGTCATCCCCTAGAACACCATAATGGCTGGTACCCCTCTACAATGACACCTCCGGTCCCCAGAATCTGGGGTAACTTTGGGAGTATTTATGAGAACCTGAAGGTTGGCAGGGAGGTGGGAGACAACACACCACTATCTCATTGGAGGCCAGGACAGAGCATAAGGACAGAAAAATTCTCCAGTGACTGGAGGAGTTGCCCTAGCCCTTGGGGTAGCTAGATTGAGCAAAAACCAAATAAAACCCAGAACACCAGGCAAAATCCAAAGTTCAGATAACAACATATACATTTTAGTGTTTGTTGTTATGTGATACTATGGGTTACTTGTTTTTAAAAATGTTATTTATCTGAAATTCAAATTTAACTGGGCACCGAGTACTTATCCGGTACTCTTCCACCCTCCCCACCCTTAAACAGGAAAGTGACATTTTTAAATATCATTCTAAAAAATCCCATGCATTTAGTGTCAAAAATGTGGAGAAGTATGCAAAATAAAATAAAACTCAGTGATAATTTTGCCTCCCCCCGCCCCCGAATTAACAAGTGTTAACCTATTCTGATCCTTGCTAGTCAGTATATTCACTCATCCTTTCTTTCTCTCTCTCTCTCTCTCTCTCTCTCTCTCTCTCTCTCTCTGTGTGTGTGTGTGTGTCTGTGTGTATATGTTTTAATAAGTATCATGTGCTCATAAAACTTATGCTGTAGTATAATATGGGCTTCATATTATATTATCATCTGTAACATCATATATTTAAATATATTTAAGAGAATATGTTCTAGTGCTGAATCGATAATTCATCGCTTAAAGAGAACTCACTACTCTTGCAGAGGACCTGGGTTCCTCTGCACCAACATGACAGTTCACAACAGGCCCTAACTCCAGTTCCACGGTATCTGTCACCCTCTTCTGACTTCCATGGATATGAAGCATTCACGTGGTACATTTAGATATGTGTAGGCGAAACACTTGTACACATACATATTTTTAAAAAATACTTTCTGTATATATAAGAAAATGCATACTATCAAATGTCTATAATTCTATCTTTTATTTTACATGTAATTCTTAATGTTTTATATGTTGTTTTGTTCTTAAGGACTTCCTATGTTTCTGAGATAGGGTCTCACTATATAACCCATGGGGGACTCATTCTTGAACTTGCAATGTAGACCAGGCTGGCTTCAAACTCACATAGGTCCACCAGTCTCTGCCTCCCAAGTCCTGGGATTAAAGATGTGTAGCCACTATGCCCAGCCTTAAAGCCTTTCTCATTATACTGTTCATGGGATGCCAACATTCACTCATCTTTTATGCACACATATAGAGGCATGAGAGGACCTGTTCTTCCCTGACACTTAGCCATTGGATATTTGATGTGACAGATACCCAGCACCACTTCCCATCCACCCAGGGGTCCATGAAAGGCTGTGGTTTAAGCAAATGAGGCAAACACTGATCTTTTTCAGGACTGGGAGCCCCTGCGCCCAAACATAATGCCTACTTCTCCATCACAGGCTCCAGCTGTAGGAAACACAGCTGCCTGGACTTGCAACAAGGAGCCAATTAAAGCCCTTCCCTTTAAATTTCATGAACATTCAGCACATTTGGACCCAAGCCCCACTTGGCAGGGGTTGGGGGTTGGATCCTCTGGACACAGAGATGAACAGCACAGAGAAATCATAGACAGATTACATTAGATTTCCATGCAGTGGCGGTAGCTTAGATAATAGTAGGTAAACAGAGGAGTAAGTGAGAAACATGACAGCTTTATGAAGGAGACCAGAAACAATGTCAACATTACCACCATCATACTGCACAGTGAAATTCTAGCCTCAAAACGATGAGGTTTCAAATAGTAGTGCTGTAGTCATGGGACTTTTTGGATGACTTTTGTATCTGAATGACAGGTTCTTTACCTAACCAGCACCAGATGCTCCATGCCCTCTTGAAAATAACCAACTAGTCTGCACATTTTTCAAGGCACCTCCCCGCAAAGAAGTCCTTACCAGTCCATGCTGATTCAGTTCTAAAACGGTGATTTCAATTTATGCATTTGAACACTTGGTCCCCAGCTGGTGGCGCTGTTTGGGAAGGCTGTGACACCTTTACAGTGAGTCTTAATCTTCCTGACCCTGTAACCCTTTAATACAGTTCCTCTTGTCATGTGACCCCCCATTATAAAATTATTTCATTGCTACCATAACTGTCATTTTGCTACTGTTATGAATCATAATGTAAATATCTGTGTTTTCTGATGGTCTTAGGTAGTCTTTGTGAAAGGGTCATTTGACCCAATAGGGTTGGGACCCACAGATTGAGAATCATTACTGCCTTTAAGAGATGAGGCCTTGCTGGAGGAAGAGAGTCACTGGGGACAGTCCTTGACAGTCTTAAAGCCTAGCCCCATGTCCCATCTGGTTTCTGCTTCCTGACTACAGACTAGCTAGGTCTCCACTCCTGACTACAGACTAGCTAGCTCTCCACTTCTGTCCTCCTGTTCCTTCCCCCATTACAATGGACTATATTTCTGGGATTGTAAAGATTCCTTTAAATTGCCTCTTGAAACATGTTTGGTCACAACAATGAACTCCAATTCCAATTCATCTCCACAGCACAGAAATAAAAAAAAAAAAGAAAGAAAAGAAAAAGAAAAACACCCTAGACTGGGCCCTCAATATCTTATCACTCTCTGGCCTTTGACACTCCTCCTTCCCCATGATGCTTGTAGGGCTCCTACAATAACCTTGGCTCTGTGCAACCAGCTTTGTACCAGCCGTCCACAGGACAGGTGTGATGCAAAGGGATTGGGACCATTGGATCCACAGTGCAAAGCTGGGGCCGGGAGTGATTGTGTTTTCTGCTGGATAACATACATCCAATGGGATGGCAAAAGATGATCCAATTTGAGCTGAAAGCTGAATAAAGACCTAAAACTGATTTTTTTCTGTATTATGGAGACAAAAATGTCCAGGTTGGGGCTAGTGAGATGGCCCACTGGGTAAAAGTGATTATTTCCAGGCCTGCTGACCTAGGACCCACATGGTTGGTAGCAGGGAATAATTGACTCCTGCAAATTGTCTTGTGATTCCTCGACACAAACACAAAAAAATAAGTGTAATTTTTAAGATTTTAAAATAATATTTCCAGACCTGGCACAAGAGAGAGAGAGAAGATAGAAAGTAAGGTCAAGAGGACCATGGAGGTAGGGTTTAGGGTACCAGAAGGTTCAGTTCACTGTAGAACCATACAAGGGATTTTAGAGTTTATGCTCAGTGTAATTTAACAACTAGAGGATCGCAGAGGATCACTGTCCCCTCTACCTGTCTGTCCTCCGTGCCCTTGTCTTGCCTGGCATTTGTGGGAAGCCACTGCAGCTGGAGATTCAGCATGGAAAGAAGGTAGCTCCATCCATCACCGAAAGTATGGAAAGAAAAGCATGGGTGAGCCCTATGCCGCATAGCCACTGGCCCTGTCTTGTTGTGATTCTGGTTTCTATATTTCCAGGTGTGTAGTGTTCCTGATGATGTCTGCATCTTGGAGGCCCACAGGTTGCAGCAGCAGCCCCGGAGCTTTTGACTGCCCAGGGACACCTTCTATGTCAGGTTTGTCTAAAGGACCTGAGCACCGACCCATTCCCTGGCAGAGAATCAGAGCCAGCCCCTAAATATTGTTGGGAGAGATGGTCTGCTTTTTAGTGATTGATGCTCCAGCTGGCCCCAAAATGTTTTGACACTGTTGTGTGCATAACTACACACCTTATTTAATAATAAATAAAATAACTGAAGTTCAATTAAGGCAATGGAAAAATATGATAACCCAGGGTTCAAGTTGGTGGTTAAAAATGCTCAGTGAGGGGCTGGACTGATGGCTCGGTGGTTAAGAGCACTTGCTGCCCTCATAGATGATTCAGGTTTGGCTCCCAGAACCCACATGATGGGTTACAACCATCCATAACTGCAGTTCAAGGGGATTTGATGCCTTCTTCTGACCTCAAGGAACACATGCTAGTAGTCATACAACCATACAGGCAAAATACTCATCTGCATGAAATAAACAAACACATCAAAAACAAGACCCACCCCCCAATGAATGGTCTTCAGTTAAGGTGAAACACAAAGTTTCCTAACTCGCAGTGAGAACACAATAAAGTCACTTGCTAGATTCCCAGAACAAAATCCCAAATAACAAGAAGCCAGCAGCTCAGGGAAAGTCTAGTTCTTTCTAATACTGCATCAAAGACTTTGTCATTAATAGTCCCCATAAAGGGACTTTCTGTGAGATAGTAAATAACAACATCCCTAAAATAAATAACAGCCCTGGCTTGCAAGTGGCTGTTTCTTGAAACACCCCTCATGGCAACATTTTATCTAGGCCTGTCTGAGCATAGTTCCTTCAAGGTGATTGGGATAAGAAGCAGGAGGTTGAGGGTGCATTCCGCCCAGAAACTTACTGGTGATGGTGGTCCTTGACTACAGAGGGACCAAGGTGGATCCTGGGCAAGATGGAGCTGACAGGTGTCCAGTGGTGTTTGAGCATCATGGAAGTGGCCCGTGACTGCATCTGCTTCACCTTTGGAAAGAAGAAATTTGGAACGGAGGTGTGGTCTGCTCCTGATATGACACCTTGTTTAAAGCAACTTCAGGTCCTCCTGGGGCTGGATGAGGGGGACTCGCAGAGGAGGGCTTGTGGAGGGAGAGTCTTTATGAAGTGGTAGAGTGAACACTTCATATTTTAAGCCTGGGAAAAAAGCATCTCCTGGCAGGCAGTCTTACCAAGTGTGTGCAGGCTGTGGTGGAATCTTCCAAGGCCTGTTTGCAGCTCCATTTGAGGTGCTCCGTTTCCTGGCTCTACAATGGCCCTGTTAAAATCCTACCCCAAATCGTTGGTTCACATACAAGGTGACAGGCAAGGTAATCATTTTCTTTGGCTGCCGTGTGCTTCCCAGTTTACAGCCCCTCCAGATCCAGCGTGGAAGAAGGATGAGATGCTGCCGAATCTTTGTGCGGACTCCAAATGGTTCCCTCATGAAGAAGGCGGCTTGGGAAAGAAAACGATGGTGAATTCAATACAAAAAACCTAACATCTCTTTTTCATCATCATTATTTTATTGAACAATTTTTAGTGTTATTTCAGTGCCCCAGATTTTCTACCTAGATCTGAGCGTATAGACACAGCCTGTCCTACACTCTAATGATGTCCAGCTTGTTAGATGGCTAGATAGATGATAGATAAAGATCTGTGCCTTGATAGGGGCACTGCCTCCATAGGTGCTGATCTCGTTCACTGGTAGGAAAACGGAGCCTCATTGAAGACAGCTGACTTTCCTTTAAAGCCACAGGAAGTTGCTTCTGAAGCCTAGTTTCTTAATTTCTACTCAACAGCATCAACACATTTGTCCTGAGAATGCTCACAGAAAACAGAAGGCGAAAGAGAATGTTAAGCAAGGAACAAACCCAGAGCAAGTAAGAATTGTGCAAACCATGGGCTGTAATTCTGATGGAGAACTCTATAAATTTTCAGACAATCAGGCCAAGTAAAGAAATTATTTGTGTGACAAAGGAATGTGATGGGATTGAGTTGTTGGGTGACAGGATCAGATCTGAACTGATCCAGCCTCACAGGAAAACCAACAACATGGCATGCTGGGCCTACTCTAGGTGGCTACTTTCCTCCTGCTAGGTGTATTATGCAATTTCCAGGTTTCAGAATACACTTTGACCTTCTACTATGCTTACATTTGTTTTAGGAGGAGGGAAAGAAGGTGTGTGAGGGTAGAGGCAGTAAGACGTGGAGCCAGGGGTGCCACTTCTAAAGACTGTTCTTTAATGTCTGGTGAAGGCCTGCTTGCTGAGCTGACAACAGTAGTGAGGATGCCTGGTGCTACAAAGGAGTCTAGAAGAAATATTTATAGTAGTTCTCTCTCTAGCCATCTGTTATCTATCATCTATCTATCCATCTATCTGTCCTGTCTCTGCCTCTGTCTCTCTATCTCTCCCTGTCTCTGTCTCTCTGTCTGTCTCTGTCTCTGTCTGTCTCTGTCCCTCTCTCTCTCAGTGTGTGTGTGTGTGTGTGTGTGTGTGTGTGTGTGTAGATCAGAGGAAAACTTCATGGAGTCAGTTCTCTCTGTCCACCTTTAAATGAGTTCCGGTGATTGAACTCAAGGGGTCAGACTTCCTCTGCAAGAGCTATTACACACTGAGCCAACTTCCTGGTCCTATAGCCATGTTCTTAACAACAGGGGGAAAAATATAAATATCTATGGGGGACTTGAGGCAAATGGGACAGTGGAAATAAACATAAATTGACCTGTGTCCTAAATGTAGAAAAAGTAACCAAGGCACTCTCCGAGGATTCCAGCTTCCAGGTTGGAACAGAAGTTTGCCTTCTAATAACCAGGCTTCTCAGAATGGGAATGGGCTGTTCCCCGACATCTGCATACATGCAAACTCAGATCCCCGGGTTGTTTCAGACTGTAAGTTTTCCAACTATGACTACCTCCAATCTATGAGATCGTTCCTCCGCACTTACACCGAACAGTCACATCGATTTGCGACGCTAATGAAGTAAATACCCAAGAATCCTCGTTCATGAGCTATTACCTCCATATTGATTGTAGCCTTAATTGACAATTACTTGAATGGGCTGGGCTACACTGAGCTTTTATTAATTTTCCATTGTGATGCTCATTACTAAACTTCATTACAATTGTGTAACAATGCAAACTCCCCACTGTGGTTAACTGAAGTGGAAAATTCCACTGGCCGCATCCCCAAATCTATTTATTCTGGAAAATAAAGAATTTGGTGTTATTAAATTTGATATCAGGATTCTAGGCCTTGATTCTGTGGGAAGAGAATCGTGACTTCAGCTGTGAAAAATAAATAGAATTTGCTAAATTGTTTTTCCTTTGCTGTTGTTTCAGAGGCCGTGTGGTACGCAGAGACTTGATTTTCTACCTCACTGCCTAAAGAAACAGTGCACTCCAAGCTACTGCCAAATTGAGTTCATCTCTCCCTTCCTCATTTAAAAAAATTATTTATTTAGTTAGTCAGTTGGGTTAATTTTAATTAGGGGAGAGAGACAGACAGAGAGATTATTCACCTTCAGAACTTCCATCAGGGAAACCCTGTCAACAGATCACGTGTCTGTCCTTGTTCACCCCGGCAAACACAGCGCTTTGCTATTAAACCATTCTTAAAGAAACAGTCAAACTCTGAGACCCCACTGGAAATGGAAGTTAACATTTTGTCATAGAAGACTTTGAGGAAAAGAAAAAAAAAATGCTACCCATAGAACTCCCAGAGACACACACGGACATCACTTTTGTCTTGGGTCCGGCCAGCATCATGGTTTGACATCCCTTTGTCATCTAGAATGGCCCTGAAGGTCTGTGATTATATTGGAGATGTAAATGAGCAAGGGTGGCTAAATCACAGCCATGCCTGGAAAATATAAGTATGGGGGCCACTCTGCCTGACCTATGGTTGGGACTGGCTAAGCTTAAGGATATGATTATGCATCCTGCTTCTGTACTTGCTGATGAAATGCACAGAGACCCCTCCCTCCATCTTACACTTGTATGCACTTCTAACAAAATTCCAACTTTATTTTAATCGCTATTCATAAAAAGGCTGAAAGTATATTTGTGATGTCTTGATCGATTTCTTTTTTTTTTTTTCAGAAGAAAAGTTTTCTAAGTACCTATAGTTTTTTTCAGGAAATGGAATTCCAGTTTCTGTTTTTATTTATATAAACAGGAAGTTCCACTAAAGCAATTCTACAAAGACTTAAAATCGAGTGCATTATATCAGAATAAAATGTTGTGGGGTAAGAGAAAGTAAATATGAGATCACGAAGAAAAAGAAGTAAAATTGTGGAGTGTCGAATACAAATTTGTTCCTATGTATCTACTTTTAAATGACTGATGGTAACATAAAATTGCTTTTGGTTTAAATTTTGTTAGTGCAATGCAAAGTTTGGGGATTTGGGGGGATTTAATTTTATCTTATGTATGGGTGTTTGCCTGAATGCATATGTTGGCACAGCACAGGCCAGGAGAACGTCTCCTGGGAATGGAACCTGGGTCCTCTGGGAGAACAGTCAGTAGTACTCTTTTTTTTTTTTTTTAAGTTTTTATTTATTTAGTATACAGCTACTTGCATGCATGCTTGCACACCAGAAGAGGGTACCAGATCTCATTGCACATGGTTGTGAGCCACCATGTGGTTGCTGGGAATTGAACTCCGGTCCTCTAGAAGAGGAATCTGTGCTCTTAACCTCTAAGCCGTCTCTCCAGCCCCCGTCTCTCCAGCCCCCGTCTCTCCAGCCCCCTTCTCTCCAGCCCCCCATCTCTCCAGCCCCCCCGGCCCCCGCCTCCCCAGCCCCGGTCTCTCCAGCCCCTGTCTCTCCAGCCCCCGTCTCTCCAGCCCCCGTCAGCAGTACTCTTAACTGCTGAGCCATCTCTATTTTTGAGTGTCACTGTTTCCTGTCCTGTGTGTTGCCTGGTGGCAGCTGTGGATAATGCCATCCTCTAAGGTGAGGTCTTGGAAGTGTTGACTCCCCCAGATCTCTAAGCACAAGGCCGAAATAGAGAAATGAGCAGCTTTCTTCCAATTCCTCCTGAAGCTCTCAAGACAAGGAGCAGGGGTGAATAATGGGGTGAGAGAGACTGATTCAAGTGCCCCCAAAGGACTTAAGAGCTCCTTGCTCGGCCCTTCCCCACCTGCTCATAGCCAGGCTAAGCTCCTTCCCCACCTACTACATAAACAACACAAGCCTCAGCCCCTGGAGCATCATTAGGCCTCTTTAACACTCAAATCCAGTCTCCCCTGAGGCTCCCTGCTTTCATCAAACACATTTTCTTTGCTCTTAGTTGCAAGTTTAAGGAAAACCAACAATGCTATGGACTCCGGTGTGAAGGTAAGCTGGAGGATCAACATCACAGGGCCCCTGGCTGGCCCTCAGTGTCCCATGTCGGTTTCAAGTTAATTTGCTGGAAGGCACTGGCCATGGTACAGATCAAGTTCACTGTCGCTAGAACGGCCACCACCATCTGGTTGCTCATTTAATGGGTTTAACCCAACTCATCCGTGTCTAGACGTGAGGCAACCAATATAAGGTGATAGTCCTTTTCAGGGTTTCCACTGCTGCGATAAACAGCGTGGCCAAAACAACTTGGTGAGGAAAGGGTTTATTTCACCTCACAGGTTGCCCTTTCATAATGAAGAGCGGCCAGGCAGGAATTCAAGCAGGACCCTAGAAGCAGGAAGTCAAACAGAGGCAATGGAGGAATACTGCTTACTGTTTCACTCCTTATTGTGGTCATTTCCGGGTCCCACGGCCACCCACTAGGTAAATAACACTCATGGCTTCTTCACTTTGCTTTCTTCTACATCCATGACCATCTATCCCAGAACCACACTGCCTACTGTGGGCTGAGCCCTTTTCCATTAATCATCAATCAAGACGGTTTCCCACAGGCTTACCTACAGGCAATCTGATAGGGACATTTTAGATGACTCTAGCTTGTATCAAGCTGACAAAAAACCAAAAACCAAAAACCAACCAAACAAAAAACACCTTACTAGCACAGTTCAGCATAGGCCTGCTTTCTTGGATTTTTGTCTGTTTCTTGAGGCAGCCTTCCATCCAGACTGACCTAATAACTCAATGTGTAGCCCAGGTTAGCCCCAAATCCAGCAGCTGCCTCAAAGCTGACAAGGAAGAGATCCAAAATGGTCATGTGCTCTACTAAATACTAGAGAAATGATATTTTGTTGTTGTTGGCACGTTCATTCGTTCACTTATTCATTAATTCGTACCTCTTGAGATGATTTTTTTTTTGTGGTTTGTTTTGAAATGAACTAGGAACTATTTTCGGTTTAGAGCTAGCTGGAGAATCAATCTTGACTCAGTTGCTAGGATACTATGTCTTTGGAGCAGAAGTAAAGAATCAATTTCCCTGCGCTTTAAAGAACATGTATTTAAGTAAATTACTTCCCTAGAAATATTGATTCATTTCAAAGAGCATTAAATAATACAGAAACAAGAGGACTTTTCTGCGAAAGCTGCATCGCCACAGAGAAGCGGGGGTGCACTTAAATAAAATATATTTACAGGGATAATCTCGACCTTGTTCAAGAGAGAAAATAAACTTTAATGTAGTGACAGGACTGTTCATGTAGTGAGCTCTCACGGGCTGCTGCATAAATAATGATTGCCAAATTGTGTGAGTGTTTTTATGTGAGAACCAGCTTTGTGAATTTTCCAAAGAATCCAGTACTGGAATTACATCCAAGGCTGAATTCGTTCTAGCAAATGAAATATTCTTAAGACATGAAGACATAGTCTAATGGAGACATCACAACTAGACACATGTTGTCTTCCAAAATGTGTTTTAAAAATGCATTAAGGTTCTTTGTGGGCTCCGTGTGCTGGGGTGGGTCCCAAAGGCCAGAAACTGGCTTCGCAGGCATCCTTGGACATCAGCAAGCCCTGCTCCAGGGAGGAAAGCCAGCCAGCCTGCAAAATGTTTCTGCAGGAACTTTTGGCTGCCTTAGGCGCCTAGAGCAAATGTTTGTTTGCTTCAGTACGCAGAATCAAATCCTTTTGTGTGAAAACACTTGCTCGAGAAACAAATGTTTGTTTTCGTAATCGACATTTGGACTGTTGGAACATTACCACTTCAGATATTGGTTGGAGAAATATACATTTAATACGGGAAACCATATTAGGATCAAGCACCAATCAGAACACAAATCAAGGCGGCAAGGGAATGAGGTTGAAACTGGACCCTGTTAGAACTAACCAAGGAAGCACTGCCTTGTTTTACATGTTTCTGCTTGTTTCCCAGCAACAGTATAAACCAAGAGTGATTTACTTCCTTCTAGAAGAGTAGGACTTATGAATTATCAAGGATAGCAGCAAGAGTGTATTTATCTAGTATTAATATTTAAATGCCATTTTTCTATTGAATGTACCA